TTTAACAGAATAAAAAACGATAAACCAAACAAAGTAAACAGATAAAAGTAAATAAATAAAACAACGTAAATAAAAATAAGTATTTGAACGATTCATGGTTCAGGGCACCAAATACAACAGATGGTACAACAATTTATTGCAAACGCGTTTCGCTACGTAAACCGTAGCATCATCAGGGCTAGCAATAGATGGCCCAGTGAATACAACTGTAAAATGCCTCTAGTATTGCACTCAAATACCATGGAGGAGTGAGCTACTATTTGAATGGCCCTTTAAACAACTAACAACAAGTAGAAGAGGTTGGTAGATGAAGCGATGGCATTCGGTTTTGGAGGAATTAAGCGTTTGCAATTTCAATAAACTAATTTTCGTACTAAGAGTGAACTTTAATTAAAAACCAGCGTCTCGTTCACCTTAAAATTTCCTCTCAAAGACAAGCCATTTACCATGAACAATATAACGGGCACTTATAAAAAATTAACTTACCGCACGTGGACAAACTAGATCTATCTAAGCGCACCTGTCCCAAAGTTATTTTTCAAAAATTTGCCCAATTAATTACTTGTGGTGGAGTCAAAATGCTTGCTTGATGGCTGCCAGTTAACGTACTGCCACTTACTCATAGAAGCCATTATGCACGCCATGGCAGAACTGTGCAACAGCGCAGAGCAAACGTAATTATGGTTGCTAGCACATTTCCAACATCTCTGACGTTGCTGATAAAACGTGTAATGAGTATCACTGCTACTGAAACGCGTATCGTACTGTTATAACCAATAAAAACTACCAGCAGCATGTTGACTGGAGCAGGTGCTAGAATACGTGGATGGACAGCATGTTTAAATACCTTAACCTTTGAGGAGCAAGGATACAAACCTTATCGCCAAACAATCTGATATTGGGGAAAATAATGCAAAGTAACCTATTCTCGGGTAGGAAAAAAACTTTATGATAATGCTGCTAAAGGCGTACAGACTCCTGAAACATAACGAATAAGAATCAGGGCATTGGTACAGCCTCTGTAAACGATGCAAAATGGGAAGTGTTGCACCAGTGGCGCAAACCACCGTGTACGTTGCTTTGATAAAAGTAGACTCATCAACATATTACAAGCATTCAAATCATATTTATGATCTAGCTGGAAAAATATGCAAAGGATTAATCGATGGCAATTACCAAGGACACAGCCATTAAAAATGACTCCATATGATCGATAAAGGACATATGCGAAAATATCATGGAGAAGTGGTCTGCTTAAGTGGCTGTCAAAAATTTAGAAACAAAGAAGAGAATCGTGACGCCGCGAAACTCAGTTTAACAGAGCAATATTTTAATCATCATATTCCAGGTGATCGAACCAATAGTTCTGATATTGCTGACAAAGCATATAGAGAGTATCGCATAGGTAACTGCACGTTATTTCTGAGTAGCGAGGC